ACTAATGTAAGCACCTCTTTAAATGCATGCTTATAATGCTTCAGTTTGTTGAACTGAATTATAAACCATTTATACTTATACTTATAGACCTGTGTTGAAAACCAATGTTGAAAACCCAAGGCATCCTAGCAGTTATATGTGCATACAGGTCTAATATGTTGTGCATAAAACTCAAATACTTCATTAGATAATTAAACAAGTCATAGAAAAATGTACTAACACACTAAGTAGCTTAATTTACAAGTCCACCGTTCATTAAGCTAAAAAGAAACAAAAAAATCTTTCACTCCTTGTCCGAATCTGCCTCTCAAGTATTGCGCGACTCTTCGGCCAAAGATTCTGCCAATGGCTTGTTTTCCTACACGCCAACACCAATATAAAAATTATAACCAAAGAAAAATAGAAGAATGAGTAAATAACATAAGACATTAAAATAAATAATGGAACTTACAACATTTTCTCCAAAAAGACCTTCAGTTTCCCAGTCATTTAATATCCGCATTTGACATTCTTCCATCCTTTTTCGTACAATTTCTGGAAGCTTCAAAGCATCTATGCTCATAATACGAAGTTGTTCTTCTCTCTTTTGAGCTTTCTTCTCAGATTGCTCTTTTTGGTGCAATTCTTTTTCCTTTCTCTGATCTTCATTCTTTTGAGCTTCTTCACGGAGTTCTTGGTCTTTTAGTTTTCTTTTTTCAGCAGCAACCTTAACTTCCATCTCTTTATTCGCTATCTGCTGCTTAAATTCAAATTCCATTTTGCTATTCTCCTTTTTTAACTCAATTTCTTTCTCAAAAGTAGACCGTAAACCTTTTATTGCATCGATCACCCCAACATCTTCATTGGCTTTCCTTTTACTCTCCTTAGATGCTTTTCTTCCTTGGGGAAGCACGATTTCATTAGTCTTGTTAATCTCACCGATACAATCCATATCATGATTATCATCTGGGGTAATATGTATTGATGATGTGCCTTTGTCTGTAGGATAAACTCCTTCACTAACCTCATTTTTTTTTGCCATATTTTTCATGCACCACTTCGGGTTTGTTCTCAATGTCTCCCAGCAATGTTCGAACTGAAACTCCTTTTTGCCAGTGCACTCTTTATACATACGAATAGCTTCTCGCTTCTGAAATGAATTGTTAGAGTGATAAGTTTGAAGATAACTAAAAAATTGCTGAAGATATTATTATACCAATATAAAGTTTTCATATCAATCAACGTGAGCATTTAGATGATTTTAATGTTTAATACAAACAACAGTAGATATCAAGGATACCCCAAAGTGTTCATACTGCTATGTCATGCTTTAAAACAAAAGTTAAAGATTTATTCACATTTTTTCCCCATTTTCCATCCAAGTTCAACACTGCTAATTTAAAAGGATTCTAATAAAAAAGAGTCAAAACAACTCACTTTACGAGTAAATAAAACCAAAAAGAAAAATATTGAGAACAATTCACCTATCTTAGTAAGTTATTCAACATTCTCTATGCACATTATAACATTACACATATTGCAAAAAGGAGTATACATCATTTAGCAAACTTACCAATGTCTAACTTAGTAATCTAGTACACATGAACACCTCGACAAACTGAAATAAAACTAAAAAATAGAATTGTATACTTTAATAGAATGACATGAAGTATAGAAACTAACCATATCATCCAAGTTAGTGCCACTTTTTGGAAGTCTATCCAACTTCTCGTAGAATGAGTTGAACTTGGTAACAGCTTGGTTTATCTTCTTCCAACGATGTATCAAGCTCATCGGCGTACGGTTATCTTTACACTCAGCTCCCATATTTTCTTTCCAGGCAGGAAAAACACGTTTCCATAACACAACAGTTTTTTGGTTATTACCAACATCTGCATCAACTGAAATATAAAGCCAAGCCTTCGTCAATCCAACATCTTCGTCTTTGCTCCAACTCTTATTGAATTTTTCATTTTCAAGAGTTTGAGAGCTCATGAAGTCGTTGTCTTTTGTCTTAAACTTTTTTTGCACATGAGTTGTTTGTGCAGGGTAGACATGTGTCGGCTGGAAATGATACATGGGAGCATTTAGCAATCGTTGGTATGATAAGCCGACTCCATTTTTTTGGCTGACAAAAGGAGATGTTGATGCATCTGTTGGATTATATCCAAAGTTCGCTTGGAATCCTGGAGTAAAATATGAAAATGGATTAACCATTCCCTCGGGACCCGTACTATATGTATTTTTCATCTCACTCATTTTAGTCAATGCTTCATTTGTTTCTGTAGCATTTTCCTCTTGAGACACGACCAAGATATTTTCATTTTGAGAATTCATTATCCAAGCCTGTATGAGAAATTCAAGTCAACTAATCAATTAATAGCCCGAGCATGAAATTCTACAACATGGCTTATACAAAATCATGCTCCTAAGCAGTTCACAAATTTCAGAAATCTCATGCAGATCAGAGCTTTCTAATGTATATAAAGATCGAATGGAATTTAGTTAAAAAATAGAACACATTCCAATTTCCATTAAAAAATCTAATTTCGGCACATATTAAAATCTACACATCAGGTATACTAACTTATGAGTTTACACACTTTTCTGGTAAGAATAGTTGTAACAAAAATCAGTGACATGTGTACATAAGTTGTTCTGACTGATCAATTTCCATGACTAAACAGTAACGCGAAAGATGTAAGGCTTGATATACTTATAAATCCACATCAAGATAGATATCCAAATGAATCAAACCAGAATACTCATATTTTTTAGATGCATTTCTGCCTCTATTCTGATTACAACCACGAACCCAAACTAATTTAGAATAACTCAATTAGACCCCTAGGGTTTGACTCCTCAAGATGATGAAAACAATGGATACCAAAGGAGTTCACAAACACTTGAGCAGAATTGATGGGATGCTGAGAAAACGATTCATTCTAAAATATTAAAAAAAAAAAAGAACAAAGAAAAAAACCAATTACAAGCCTTATGAAAATAAACATATAGCAGGTGGTGATAA